TTCCACCACAAGAGACACATCCTCCATCTGAAATCTGCATGAAGTGAGCTGAACCTTTAAATCCTATTCATGATTAGGAGGAGGTTTGTTTAACATTCCTGGGGATTCACTTTGTGCAGTGCAAAGCTCAATACCATCCACAGCACGAGTGAAAGAGCAGGTACACAAGATTCCTGGGCTTTACTATTCACTAGCAACTTTCAAAGCTGTGCTTATCCCCCCTCCCTAAAACAGCACGCTGCCACCCTGGCTCCAGGCCATAGAAAGATGACTTGAGTGGTGCTGTTTACTGGGCATCCCTGCCTCTTCATGCAGAAGTGCTGGTTAACTTGCCAACTCCTGTAGGAATAGTGTTCCTCAAATGAATTCCTCCTTTTCTCACCACCTGGTAGTGCTGAGGGGGAATATTTCCAAAATACAGCTCAGATTGAGGTTAGCAAGTTGTCTGGAGGTGGGGGAAGCACTCTACCAATCCGAGAGAAAGATAAAAGGGGATAACATTCCTTAATGAGTTTTTTTAATGGGGAATGTAGTCAAAACCTAATAGAAACACCGTAGTCAAACCAAATCTTATAGGACGTGATCAAGGCTCTTTATATCTTAACTCTTCTAAAGAGGGACTTTGCAGTTCATCATTGGTACCATGGAATGTCTTCATTGCATTGATCCTGCAGTTCAGCGTTGGTACCATGGAATGTCTTCATCACATTTACCCTCCTGGGTCAGTCTCTGTGCCTTCCAGCCAGGCAGCACACGCTCAGCCTTTCCCACAGCCCTTGCTCAGGAGCTCGGAGCATGTCAGTGTGCCTGCTAGAGCAACAAGTCATCTGCTTTCCTGAGTCAGCCATGGAGGACTGCAGGTCCCACAGGTCTCCGTCATGCTGCCATCATAGAATCGTGCAGTCATCTGGACTGGAAAAGACCCTTAAGATCATTGAGTCCAGCCATAACTAAGCACTTGTTCTGTTCACTCTAGGACAGAATGAGGCTTGCTGACGCTGTTACCTCCCAGGGTTAAGGCCTCTCTTCTAAGGGACAGACCTTCATTTAGTGGTGGACTTGGCAGTGCTGGATTAACAGTTGGACATGATGATCTTGAAGGTCTTTTTCAACCTTAATGACTCTATGATAACCACTGTCCCATGGCACTGTGATCAAGTCCTTTTATTGCCCCTGTTGCTGGTTTTTTGCCTGCCATGTGCCCTGAGGCATTCCTCAACTCTGCAACTGCCTTCAGCCCTTTGCATTGTGTGATGTGCATCTGCTTCTAGTACAACCCATTAGGGAGGGAGGGAGGGAGATGAAATCAAATGTTACACCTGGTGCTTCCTCCAAATACAGACCGAAGCACAAGCCACATGTTTTTGCCTGTGCACAGAAGGAGTTGGTTGCACAAATAGCTGTTTTGGCATGACAGTACAGGACCATAAAATGGCAATTTTTTGGCTTCTCCTCTCTATGCTTTGTGTTCATATATTTTATTAGGGGAATAAAGTAGAAAGGGTGGGGATAAGTAGTTACCTGTGTAGGGTCATTATCAGAAAGGCTGAGTGGATTAAGGCAATGCACATCTGGCTATCACAGAAAATTGAACACTAATGCTTCTGAACTGCAGCCCCTTAAGCAGGTTATGATTATGGATGTTTGTTGGCTGGTTATGGAATATGGTGTACTGCCCACTGGTATGTATTAACTACAGATTAGGCTGGTTCCCTCTGTCTGGTCTGTTGTGTTCCGACCCTTGCTTAAACCAGCAGGTTTTCCTTATGCCCTCAAAATCACAAGGTCACAGAATGGGTAAGGTTGGAAGGGATCACAATGGGATCATCTGGTTCAACCTCTCTGCTCAAGCAACCCTTGTTGGAGGTTATGCTGTGGTGACTTCCTGGGAAGGTGTATGTCATGGCTATTCTGGCACTGCTCTCCTTAGACCAGTCTCTGCCACCATGGCCAGGAGAGGGCAGAAGGAAAGAGCATGGACCCTGACTCTCTATTGCAGCATTTTAAAGCAGTAAAATCTGCAGAGCTGCTAGGCATTCTCCAAAATGCAGATTGCAGGCAAGAAAGAGAATCGTTCCGTGTTCCAGTCTTTGCACCAAATTAGATGGTCTTCTCTGACCCCATTTTCAGTCCAAGGGTGTACCAAAACCCAAGGGAGGAACACCATGGAGTATTAAATGCTGCATCGCTGTCCATCAAAATTACCATGAAAATAGGATTTAAGGGTATTGATGCTGGTGCCTCCACAAAGGAATTTGTATTTGATGCCTCTTAAAGCCAGAGTGGATTTTTGTTAGCTTTTATGTAATGTCAGTCACCAAATTACCTGAGTCCTTTCCTTTTATCAGATGTTAATCTGATAAAATATCAGATAATATCCTTTAATGTGAGCTGGATTTGAACACCAGGGTGTCGGCACTCTGCTCTGTCTCTCTGGTCTGCAAACTCCACATTTCCAGACATCTTTGTGAGGAGGAACATCCTCCTAGTTTTGAGGAAGGACTTCAGATGGCATGGTCGTCTGCTTTTCTGATGTTTATAAATAAACTTTGGCTGAAAGAAGGCTGATGTCCAGGCGACCATTTTGAAGGCTCATTTGATGTCTTATCAGACACATCTTGAAGCCAACCCTTGGAAGAGTCACAGGATCAAATCTGACATTGCTGCATGTCTGCCCCTAACGTGCGCTTGGCCGTTGGGTCTGCGGTGCTCCTCTGGCTGTCCTGCCTGCAGATGCCTTGGGGCTGCAAAAGCCGGTGACTGGGCCTGCTGCATGGGCTTTGAAAGGGACTTCAGACAGCTCCCCCATGGACAGGATGGACTCAGCTCCTTTGGTTTGTCTCACTAGCTCTTGTCTCAAAAGGAGGTGCCCGTTGTGTTCAGCTGTGTGCTGGCTGAGACACGTGTCTGCAGTCCTGAGTAGGATCCTTCCCTTCCCATGCACAGTCTGTCCTTGGGCTGGCCTGCAAGCTGTGCAGAGCACGCAGGAGGCTTAAAAAGTGCAGTGCCCTGTGTGTGACTCAACAGAAACATGAGGATGCTTTTGAAGAAAGGAAGGACCCAGCTGGGCAACAGATGGAACAACAGGAAAAGGAAAACAAGTAACTAGAAAGATTGCCAAGTGCTGTATTGGCCTAGAGCAGATCCCAGTTGTCTGAGTTAATCTGTCTCAGTGCAGTGCTGATGCCAGCAGGGAGCAAAGCTCACTTTCAGATGTACACACCAGAAACACCATGTCCCTGAGCTGGCACCGCAGCCAAATACAACCCTGGAGGGTCTGCTGGACTGTGAGAGCACGGAAATGAGATCTGGGGTCCCTTTCTGCTGCTGGCACTTGGTATTTGCTCTGACCTCAGGCAAATCACATCCCCTCTCAATGTCCATTCCCTTCTGCAGCATGGGGGAGAAACCTGTCTCCCCAAGATGCAACCACCACCCTGCATGGACATTGCTGAGTGTGTGACAGGCACCAACAATAGGATAGGTCTGCAGGCAGAATGTAAATACTATGCTGTAGAAATTTAATTCCTGTTTTCAGAGTACTACTCTGCTTTCCCTCTGTTTACCCGTTGGTGATGTTGCTCACACAGGCCAGAAGGCAGCAGGGTGAAGGTTAGTGGAAGTATTAAACAACTGTGGAGGAAGATGTTTGGCAAGGGTGTGTTTTCTAGTTATTTGGCAGCTGACTCCTGCACAATTGGCTTCTGAGTTTGCCTGCTGCCAGAGGGAACATGTAAGAAGATTTGTTGGCCCAACAGCACCATCCACTGATAGCAGAATTAAGGAATTTAGGAGTGCAGCTTGGGATGGCGAGTACTGATGAGGGGGAACAGAGCATTTAAAGGCTCATTTTTGGGATATTCCGACAGCAGTTTCATGCTCTTGCTTTTAGCAACCATCTCATCAATTAAACTGGTGGTTTTGCCTGGGCTCCTCCTTTATTTTTCCTTTCTCACTTCAAACCCACATGGGATTTGGTCACTCTTACCTAGAATGCAGTAGGCTTTGTGACCTGGCTGCTGCTCAGCTCAGCAAGCTTGGGCTGCATGTTCAAAAGAAACATCTGTATAGAGAGGCAGTGCCACAGGGTGAGCTGGGCTAGCTGGGAAGGCATGGAAGGATCTTCATTTTAAGGCTCTAGGCATCCTTGTCACTTCCTCTCAAGACTGCTGTGAGAGGGATTGCTCCAAACCTTGAACCGCATCTCATGAGACAAACCCAGCTCCATTACAGAACCATGCAAGTTCTGAAGCAGAAGGACCAGCAATGTAGCATAGAGGGAGACTTTGTGACCTGGAATTACCTACAGAAGATTAACAGAGGTTTCTCACAGGGGCTGTCATCGATATCTTAACTCCCTGTATTGTGCAGCTTAACTGCTGCATTGCTTCCCAAAAAATGACACCTACATCCCTTCCTTTGCCCCACTTGACATTGCTGGCAATCCCAGGATGAAAGCAGCTTTGACAGCCTGGTGGGGAGGCAAAGGCTGGGACTAACTGGAATTACACAGAGCAGAGCACTGTGGCCATGCAGCAAGACATGTCACAGAGCAGCATGGATGCTGGCAGGACAGGCTGCACCTTTCCCTGCTGCCCGTGGAGAGCAGCTTTTCCCATTGCTTCCCAGATCCATTTGCCACTTGTGGTGACTTCGAGCCTTTTGCTTTCTCTAAAAAGCTGCTCCAACAAAAGATGAATTTGCTTGTGGAAGGTGCCCACCTCGCTGATGGCACCTGGTCTATTGAGCCATTTCCATAGTAACAAATTCATGGTACAGGTGGTGGGATTGGATCAGGGAGTGGAAAGTACAAAATAAACCTCATTAAAATGTGACTGTCTCAGACATGTCTCTGGAAAGCAGCACAGCAGGCACTAGGAAAAGAAAAGGTCACCCAAAGGCCATGCTGAGATAAGTCCTGTTACCTGATGAGATTTTTACTTTCCCAGAGCAACATTTCTCCTCGGTTGCTCATCCAGCTGTCTCAGGTGAGCTCTCTGGGAAGCATTGCTCTTCACCTAGGCTTTCTTGCTTCTGCCACCCAAATAAGCTGCGACTCCATTTGTTGCCAACCTTCCTCAAGCCTCTGTGATTTGGGAGACACAGTTTGTTGAGAGATGTAATACAGACACAGGGAGAGAGCTGAAAAACTCGGTCAAGCACTTTTCATGACAGACCTTCTGTTTTTTGTCACCTTTCTCTCCATCTCCAGTTCACAGGTTTCTTTGCTCAGTTTCTTTGCATGGAAAAGCTGTGGTAGCAGCTGTGTTTGGCTTGCAGCTGTGTGTGTCCTGAGACAAACGCCAAGCAAACTTCAGACCAGCAGAAAATCCAATGAACAGGGTGGGCTGTGAGGCAGACAGCAGGCTGGGATTCCTCTTCAGCCACCTGATGGCTGTGAGGGTGAGGGTTCACCAGGCAAGTGGTGAGATCCAGCCAGCCAAGCCGGCCTTCACCCTCCCAGTCTCAGTGCTGTGGGAGGTCTGGGGCCCACACACCAGGTCCCAGACCTGCCAGCCCAGGTGCTCCTGGTGCAGGCTGGAGACTTGCAGCAGAGGTGCCAGTGGGAAGCCTGCTGGCTGTGTTCTTGCTGCACTGGGACAGGGGCTGCAAGACACGCTGGTAGGGCTATAGTTCTGCCGGGAGAAAGACTCTTGTGGAGACAATTCAGAATTTCTACACGCACACACCCTTTTTGCACTTTTTAAACCATTTTTACTCCTTCCACAGGGGTCATTGAACCTTCAGTTTAATAAAGGAAATCAGCTGCCATTGAATAGCTTTCTGATGGGTCTGAAAGCAGGTGCTACCTGTCGTGCAGAGCTGGTCTGTGCCTAACGTGATTTCCAGACCTCACTGTACAACCTGTAGCAGAATCACTCCACGGCAGGGTAAGGACTGGAGTGGGTGAGTCGGCACTGGACATCATGCCAAACAGCCATGGCTTCCCAAACTGAAGCAGAATCAGATCAGTAAGTGGGGGAAGGAGCAGCAGCAGTAGAAGGATAGCTAGTTGTCACAGGTAATCTTCGGTATCCATGTCCAGTGGTTAGTGCTAGAATTGCAAGCCTTGTTATATTGCACACACGTCCTCCTTCCACTCCCCTTTTCTCAAAGCAGCCATCACCTTTCCTCCCACCGCCCCATGCACTAGTGATGAGCATCAGAGGCAGTTGCACCAAAGTGATTCTCAGCCCAGTTCTGCATCCCCCTTTCCCGCCTGAACCCAAGGCAGCGTGGACAGTTGTTGGCCTGCACCAGTCTAGTAATTCCACTAGGGTTTCTTTCCTTGTGTACCATGGCTTCCTTCCCACACACTCTAGCAGGGCAGTACAGGAGGCTGTGGCCATGACCCAGGAAGCTTCTTTGCCCCCAGCAGCACCTTGCAGACATGCACCTTACTGGGAATGTACTGGGTTAATGCTGGTGAGATCTGGCACTGCCAGTCTTGCATGGGTGGCAGCTGATGGGGATCCACCTGGGGAAGTTGGCAGAAAGTGGCTACTGTCCCTTTTCTTTTCTTTTTTGAGGGAGAAGGGGATATTTTGGCATTATGATTATTGTCCATCTTCCAGTGGCCAAGTTCTGGGCTGCATTAATAATTGGGGTTCATTGGCTGTCCAGGCAGGTGTGGAGCTTTGCACCAACCTTAATAGCAAATGTTGTGGCTGTATCCAGAGCCTGGATATAGGATGGGTTTCTCCCATGCTGGCAAAGTACTTTCAGCAGGCTCCAGATGGACATTTCTGGCAGACAGAAAAACAGCACTCCTCCAAATCTGGATCAAATCTGCACTTCCATTTTGTGTCCTCAGCATGGAAAAAAAACTCATCCTAAGCAAATGCTTTCCAGGTCTCCATTCCCCATGTGGTGCCTGGCAACCCAGGGGAGGGGGTGTCTAGAGGCATTTCAGGGTCACCAAAAGCAAGATCCTTTTTGGATTTATTTAATGGAAATACATTTCAGGAGGAGAGACCTCCCGACCTTTGTGTTAATCTCAAGAGCAGGAGATGAATTTCTGGCTGTCCTTGCATATAGTGAAACATAGCTGAAACAGCCAAATGCAAATAGAGTTAAATGTAGGGTTTGACCTGAATAACCTTTTAATTAGGAAAATAAATTTGTTGTAGCTTGACCTTAGTCCTTGTTAGGAACCTGCTAATCATTTGACATGCAGAGTGTATTAATGCTGCACTTAACTTGGCCATTGGTTTTATTATCTGGTTTGGGGAGTTTTTTCACTCCCGAAGCATCAATCTGCATCTTGTATGGGTTTTCTTTTTTTAGTTTTTTTTCCTGTTCAGATCATGTAGCACACTATTGTACTTTTGTTCCCGTCTGTGTAGAGTATTGCCTTAAACAGATCAGTTGTGTTGTGGTTTGTTTTGGGTTTTCTCTTTTCTACCATCAGTTTTATGCATTAATTTATTTAAAAATGTGGAGGTTTTTTTTTTCAAAAACATGAAACATGTATAATATATTTTTTAACATTTCCATTGCAGTATTTATCATTGTTACTGGTTGTGTGTAGTGTAACGGAATTAATGATATTAAAAAGCATACATATGAAAATGAGCCTGCCAGCCTTTTTTCATTGGAGAGAACTGAGGCAAGAGGATGTGAGCTGTGCCATCTTCTCTGAGCCTCCAGCAGTCACAGATACTGAAATCAGGGGTGCAGCCTTCATCCCATGGCTAATACCAGCCTGCTTGTGCTGGGAAACAGCAACTGGTGTGGAGCTGTGCTGTATGGGAGAAGTAAATATTTAGGAACTGGCCAGCTCCCCACCTACACTTGTCCCCAAAGCAGTGGGAAAGCGCACAAGGCTGGACCCAGCCCCTATATCTGGTCTGCAACAAGCAGAAAGAAACTCGGCATCTGTATGACATCAATGGGTGAAATAACCTTTTCTGCAGCCCTTCTGCCCCTCAAAGGTGTTGGCCAACAATCAGGAGCCAAGCACTGATTTTAAAGCACCAGCAGCTGGAAAACAGATGGACCACCAGGGACAGGGGACAGCCATGGGGTCCAGTGGTTCACTGGAGTAGGATTAGTCCCCCCACAACTGAGAGGCTTGGACTCCACCTCTCTGCAGAGCAGTGTTCCCCAGACCTGTGTCCTGGGGTGCTTCACCCTTCCCTCACAGCCTCCCACTGATTCCCAGGAGGGGATGGGGCTGATGAAGAGCCTAAACCTGGCTCAACAGAGTCCAGTGGGGTGTGAAAATCAGGGGCCACTTGTTTTCTTCACCTCTAACGGCACATTTTCATGTTTGCCTGGAGCCACTCAGGTGCCACGGGCTGCCTGACCCCACCGTCGCCAGCAGCAAACCAAGCATGGCTCTGCATCCCTTCAGGGGCACAGGTTGGCATCCACTCTGCCAAGACAGGCTTGGGTCTGCACCAGTCATCTCCGAAAACGCAGCAGCAGAGGAGCTGGAACTGGGAGCACAGCAGGGCTCCGTGTCAGCACTGCGTGACAAGCCAGGCCAGAGCAGGGCTTGGCCTGTCCCCATCCCTGCAGGGGCAGGGATTCTGCTCAACTCCCCAGCTCCAGGAAAAGCAAACCCAGCGCATGCAAATCCCTCCCTGGCATAATCCAGCTGCCTTTCTGCGCTGAGATGGATGAGGATCTCTCACGCTGACTGCAGAGCCCATTACTCAGAATGGAAGAGAAAACAAGCCACACAGGATCACCTAAATCCAGCTTCTAATTAAAAAGGGGAGGCAGAGCAGGTCATAATTCCCCTGGCTACCACAGAGGCTGGGGTAGCTGTTCCTGGTGCTGTGCTGTGGGCACTGGCTGTGCTGGTGTGGGGCTCTTTGCCTGCAGCTGGATTGATGCAGGATTTCCAAGCAAATACAGGAGAAAGGGGCTGGAAAAACCACAATCATTTCTGCACCTCCCAAAATAAAATTATCTTGACTAGGACCAGCTGAAACTGTTTCCTACCATTGTTAGGTAGTTGCCTGCAGGAGGGGAGGAAGCTGGGAGCCAGGATAAAATCAGGAGGGTGCAGCCCAGGAGTGATGCAGGCAGAAATTGCTCTGCCCTGGGCTAGAACTGGAGTATAGCTATGGGGCTGACAGAAAGCCACCAAATCCACCTGCTCCCATTCTGTGGCATCACTAATCACATAAGCACCACCCAGGGCTGGCAGAGCAGTGGCACCAGCCCCGTTCCCCTTCCTGTGTGGGCTGCAAGTCCCCAGGCCCAGCCCTGTCCCAGCAGGCTGCAGCAACATGTTACTCTTCTCCAAAAAACACAAGGCTCCCATCAGCACTTAACATCAGCTCCTACTGCCTGCTGAGCTTTGTCAGAAAGACCATCCAAGAGCAGACTCCACAGCAGCTCTGGAAAGAGAACAAGTTTGTAAAACACATAAATGCTGCAGGAGGAGAAAACTTCAGGGTTTCTACCCCTACACAACTGCTGCTGCAGAGGGGCGGCACAGGGGGGAATTGCTTCCTGATTAGGAGGTGATTGACAGCTCACGGCCACTGCTTGCTGACTTCTTGTCTCCTGGAGCTGCATCCTGCAGTGGCTTTGGGCTCTGAGGCCTGGCAGTCACCAGGAAGAGCTCTCACACATCAGCCCTGTCCATCAGTAGGTTTTGGAGTGCACAGGTTTGGAAGCAGGCTCTGCTTAGGAAAGGGAAACTGAGGCAGGGCTCAGACCAGGGCTGCTGCGTGACATGGTGATGATGGGGGGGCACACAGGGTGGCTCTGAGAGCTGCTCCAACACAGCCCTCAGGCTCAGATCAGTTCTGATGAGGGGCTTCCCATGACAGGGGGACCGTGTGAAGGGCTGGGGAAAGATCTGAGCACCAAAATACTCCTCCCAGCCCTGGTCCTGGAGGAAGAGGGATCCCTGAGCTGAGGTCTGTGTGTGTGTGTCTGTGGGACACAGCTTTCCCCACAGGGGCTAAGAAGGTCTCAGGCACTGAGGCAAAGCTCACTGCAAACCATCTCATCTCCTACAGCCTCGTTAGCATGTGCATTATAATGAGGGAGTGAGCAGAGGGCACAGAGACGGATGTCACTGCTGTGCAGGGACAGAAATGGAGCACACTACCAACCAGGGCACCCCTCTGCCCCACAAGACCCAGCCCTCTCTGGCCTTGCCAGCTGTAGGACATTGCTTTGGTTGTGTAACTCTCCACCTGTGCTGGCCCCATTCCCAGTGCACTCACTCCCATCTCCCACTAAGGCAAAGTGCCCAGATGCCTTTGCCCACCCTGGCTGTAGGGGGAGAGGAGCCAGTGATGCCCAGCCATCCTTCATCCCCTGGTTTTGGGTGAGCAGGGAGCCTGGAGGAAGGATCACGGTGCTGCAATGAGCCCCAGGCCCACCCACTGTAAGGGAGGCTTGGTGTCAGATGTACAGCTGCATTTCCAGCATTAGATCCTGCCTGATAATCGGCTTCACCGTGTGTCCCCATGGCTGTGAAGACAGATGCTGCCACATGGTATGGGTGTCTCTTCCCACTCCCTGCTGTCTGTAGGGATTAACAACGCCCCTGTTACAAAATCCATCGAGCCAAGGTCAGACCAAGCATTTGATAGAGGTGGCAATGCAGGAATACTACAGCAGCACCATCACCCTGCTGCTTACTGGCCCAAGAAGTACTGGCTGGGCAGGTCTGAAGGTACTGGTGAGGTGCCAGCTGTCCCCCTGAGTCACACAGGGCACATCTCCATGGGGTCAGGAGGCTGAAGATGCTGGCAGTGGCTCTGTTTATCCTCCTTTTGCATCCTGTGTCCCCCTTCCAGCGGCAAAGGGATGCTCCCTCAGTATCTGTGCTTGTAGCTTTGCCATGGCCACCCATCTCCCTCCCTGGACTGAGACTGTCGCTATCCCAGGGATATCTGCTGATCCCTAATGTTTTGTCCCCTGGTATCCCATAAATACCCTCTGGTGGTAGGTGCTACCTCAGGGATACTCTCCAGGAGAGTCCCCAGGGACCAGGGCTGCACAGGCAGGGACAAGTGGCCAATGAGCTGCAAGTGATGGGTGTCACCTCCATAACAGATCCTTGACAAGAACCTCAGGATCAGCACCCCTGACATGTCCCCTCACCCTGTGGCATTGTCTTTCACAGAGTGGGGGAACAGTTGGGACGCTCTGGACATCCCCCCTTGCCCCCAGCACCACAGGGCACCTCTGTCTGTCACTTTTGCATTACACAGCACAACACAGTTTTTGTCAATAAGGGCAAATACATCACCTGGACAACAGGTCCCTACAACCACATAGCCTGGAATAAGCACTCCTCTCACCTCCCCTTCTGCCCAAGGTGGAGTCCAGCCCCGCTAGACCCCCCCAAACTGGAGCTGCCTCAGGTGCTACCAGCACCTCGAGCTCTGCAGCACAAGGCTGACATTGCTTCTTGCAGGAGGCAAGGTTGGAGACCTTTTTGCACAGCATGCCCAAGCTGTAACCCCCAAAACCCACCTGCCTAGGATGGGTCAGACTGCAGACACCGAGGGGTAGCAGGTCCTACCATGATGCCCACACAGGCAGTGATGCAGCCCTCACATCTCCATCTCACAGTGTGAGTGAACCTGATCAGGGCAGGACACCACTGCAGTGCTGGGCTGTGGAGAATGTTGTTGCCACCTGCAGAGAACCAGTTGCCAGATTTACCTGCCAGGACAGCTGATGCTATGCCTGGTCTCACCTGGCCATCCTTGGGACTGTACGACCCCTGAAATCCCGCTGACATCCCTGAGCCAGGATGCATGTTGTAGCTTAGCATCCTCACAGACCACTTCAGTGTTTCTTGTGCTGCTCTTGTATTTTCTGTTGTCATTGTGTGCTCTACTTATCAAGAACCTGTTCTCTGGTCACGCTGTTTGTTATGCAGTAATTATCACTGTCCTTCACCCACTCCAGGTCCAGCAGCACCTTTTAATCCCCACATGTTTACCTTTAGGATGTCTCTGTTGCTGAAGCAGCTTTTTTCAGCCCTGGGGAAGCAGCAAGGGCAGAAGGGAGGCTGTCCAGACAGCACAGTCATCACTCTGCTACTGCATTAACCCCCCATAGGCCAAAATTAGGTGTGAGGCTTTGCAGAAAACATATGACTGGCTTTAAATTCCAGAGATCTGAAACTGAAACCAAACAATGAGAATAAACAGAGAGTATTGGGTTTCCCATAGATTTCCCTATGCCTGAGGCTCAGAGAGAAGTTTCTCAAGGTCTTCTCCACTTAGAAACAGGAGTATTTTCCTGGATTGGCATGGCTCTGGGAAAGAACATTTTAGGGAAATGACTATAAAAGAGAGAGAGGGTGTTTGCAGGGAGGGAGACCTGCTGGAAATGGTCTCCTGGCAATGCCAAGGAGCGTTAGTTTATCTCAGAGGCTTACTCTGCCCCATGGCAATGGGGAAGGGCAAATATGGGCTTTCATTAAAACTGGCTTGCACCAGTTCCCCTCTGACCCTTTCCCACAGGCTGGGGAAGTTCCTGGTAAGGGGGAGGAAACTTCAGCAACTGCTGGCTTGGTGGGCACTTTGAGAACCCTCAGGGTCTGGTACCTTGCCACCATGCACAAGCTGGAGATCAAGAAAGCACACTAGGGAAAGCTCTCAGAGCATAGTAACACAGCCAAAAATAGAAGCAGTCATTGACACCCATGTTTGTCGGCTTCGTGCTGGGCTGCTGAGGACGTGCTTGCTTTTGGCAAGTTATCCAGGAAGAGCTGCCATCCATCTGGGATACTGAGCACGGACACAGGCTAAATAAGGAGGGGGACTTGAAAGCAGCACATAATTAATGAAGGCATGAAATGCCCTTCTCTGACTATGATCTGAGAGCACAGTGCCAGGGGGCAACATCACACAGGGCCCTCCAAGTGTGCTGCTGATTATAAACCCATAGCACTGCAGTCCTCACAGTGGGGGGGATGCTCCAGCACAGAGCCATCTGAAAACCCACATTCCAGTGGGGCAGCACAGCTGCCATGCTGTGCCCACACCAAGCAGCACCCCAATCCTTCCGGGGCAGGGAAAACCCCATGAAAACATCATCCCATGAAAGAGCATCCCGTGAAAAGCATGACCCGGCCCAAAAGCACTCATGGAAAGCCCATCCCAGCCCCAAAGCATCACATGAAGAGCCCAGCACAGCCCAAAAGCATCCCATTAAAACCCCGTCCCAGACCCAAGGCATCCCATTAAAACCCTGTCCCGGCCTCGAAGCATCTCATGAAAACCCCCATCCTGACCCAAAAGCATCCTGGCACAGCCCTGCCAGCGCCAAACCCCGAGCTCCCCCATCCCAGCCCCAGGGGTACCCGCATCCTCACGCGTCCCCCGGGCATCCCCAGCGGCTCCATCCCCCCCGGAGCAGCCCCGCCGGGGCCGAACTACATCTCCCATCGGGGAGCGCCGGTCCGGGGGCCGGTCCGGGGCGGGAGCCGGGGCGGGGCGGGGAGCGCCCAACCCCGGAACACCGCGCTCAGCCCCGCGCCCGGAGCCCCCCGGCCCCGCAGACCCGGCCATGGCCCCGCGCCCCCGGTGAGTCCGCGGGTCCCGGGCCTGCCCCCGGGGCGGGTGTGGGGGGCGCAGCCCCAGCACGGGGGGTGCGAGGTGGAGGCGGGCGAGGGGTCCCCCTCCCGCAGACCTCAGGCTGCCGGCGGGAGTGGGGATGGCTCGGGAAGGCCCGCGGGGACCGGAGTGAAGGTGGAGAGCTTCGCCCTGACCTTAGGGTGCGAGCCTTTGGCATCCCGCCGTGCAGGGACCGCTCGAGTTCTGTCATGGGTGGGAGTCTGCCCGCCCGGAGGAGATGAACGGAGCTGGGAGACACGTCCCCAGCTCCAGTCGCCAGGTGCAGCTTCAGCTTTTGCCGCTGGATAGATGCTTGGTAGTGAAAACTTTGCAGATGGGTGCACGCAGCAAACTGTGCCATTTGCCGGGTTGGGTTTGGAGTGGTTTTTGGGACAGCTCCGCCATCACTGGCCGTGGCAAGGAGCACCCAAAGAGTGTTGGAAAGCACAAATGCTACTCCCTCTTTCCCCCTCCCTTACCGCCTTGGGATACTCATGATGCACAGCCAGGTGGACAGTGAGGTTTGGGAGTTTGTGTCTGTATGACTGGATCTGCACATGGAGCATGCAAGGGAGCCCTTAAAGGGAATGACGACTGCATTTGGCCCAAGGTTGTCCCGTCTCATTGACTGTTGGATACAGATGCAAATTCAGGGACCTGAGTCGCCAGTCCAGCTCTATTAGCCATCCACAGCTCTCTGGAACTGCTCAGTGCCTGGAGTTTCATGGTGACTCAATGGCTGGAAAATCGCCGGGGCCGTGCCAGAGGGATGTGCTTATGTTTCCATTTCTCTCCCATATCGTGTTGTAGCACTTGGGTGTTGGGGTGAGCTCAGGTTTCAGCCTGCTTCAGCATCTGGAATGCTGAGTGCTCCCAAAGTGCTGAATCAGCTTTTTTAATAATCGGGGGGGGGGCAAAACAGGGCACCAGGTCCTGCTGTGGGGTAGTTTGTCTTGGAGGAGGGAGATGAGTAGGAAATGAGATTAACACCCGCTTTGGGGAGAGGCTGTTGGAGTGATGAGGTGTTTGATGGCACACATCGTGTACCAGACGGAATTGGGCTGAGGGACCAACAGACAGCGGCAAAAACACCGAAATCTTGATGTCTGTGAATCTTATATGGTACACGTGACAAATGAAATAAGCTAATAGTAAACTGATTCCTCGTGTGGAGGTTTCAATGCCTGGCTGCTGGGCCACCTTACCTGGTGCTGCTCCTTGGTGGGAGTGATGAAATTATTGTAGTTATCACTCTCGTTTATTTGGGGGGAGTGATTTATGTCATCCTGGCATGCAGGCAGGTGGAACCTCTTGCATTTGGTGTTTTGCTTTTGCTGCTGTTGGGCACGAGAGCTGATGGCCCCTTAGGTGCCAAGAAGCTGGCTGCTGGGCTCTGGGCTACTCCATGGACTGCAATTTTGGAGCCAGGCTGCCTCCAGCTCCCTCAGGGGCTGTAAGACTTCTCCAAGGTGGACAGAGAGATGTCCTTGAAGGGAGAGCCCTGGAGCTTTCTCTCCCTTATGTCCAATGCACTTTGATACAAGTGGACCAGGACACCTCACTTTGTTTTAAAGTCTCCACAAATCTTAGAGGTTCAGATAAATTCAGGTGCCGTGATGTGCCTCCAGGCAGGGGAAAACAAGAGCCTCTGGTCATGGTTTAGTCATGAGATGTCAGCACCATAAGAGGTGTGCACGGTTAAAGTGAAAAACCAGCTTATTAAACTTCATCTTGCTAATTAACACAGGGTGAAGAACAAAGAAAGACAATGTTGTAAAGGGGGAATTATCAGGGGTGTTAAATATTAAGTCATCTGCTGCCAGAATTGGTTCCCAGTGGCTATTTTGTATTCATGGTCAGACACTGGATGAGGTGTCTAAATGGATTTGGAGCATCACTTGACACTGGAAGCTTTAAAGGACAAAACTGGGTTGTAAAGTCACGATTCCTACAGTATAGGTGAAAGTATTTAAGGCTGGGCAGAGCTAATGCCACAGCTTCAAATCTCCTGCCTCCTCTTGCAGACGGAGTGAGGTCCTGGCAGCATGTCTGCACTTTGCAGATGAGCTCTGTATTCACGTGGCCCCCTTGGATTCGGGATTTATCCTCTGGGTGCCCAGTGCTGTTTAATCCTGGCTTACAAACCAGCCGGCAGCAGTGGGACTGCTTGTTTCTTATGGCTCGAAGCAGTCTCATTATCCTGCAGGATCACGACACTGCTTAAAATCGCAGGATTTGGGGGGGGGGGAAGAAAACCTACCCCAAACCGTGTGTTGGGTTGTTTTTTTGTTTTGTTTTGTTTTTTATTTTGCTTTCTGATTCTGGAGCTCCTGTGAGTGCAGGAGGGAATGAGCTTTCGCCGGCCCTTCTCGCCCGCCTGGCAGGGAGGGGAGATGCCAGCCCGGATCCCGGGACTCCGGGAGTGTGCCCGTGTGCCCCGGCAGTGCCTGCGGCAGCTCCCCTTGGCCGGGCGCCGCTTCCCTGGCACACCCTGGCCAGAGGGTTGGCTGCTCCCGCATCCGTCACAGTGCCTTGAGAGAACACGCCGGTGACGTGCCGGTCCCCTCCTCCTGCTCGTGGACGCGGAGCAGCCGGCTCGGAGCCCCGAGACGCGATGGAGAGGACGAAGCTGCCGGGGAGGCGGAGGTGTAACTGTGCTCGGTTTTTATGTGCTTAAAAAGGCATCTGTGATGAAGCCAGGCGGCAGGCAGGGATCCCCGGGAAGCAGTGGATAGGTAAGTACCCGGGGCACCGTGCCCCCGGCGGGATGAGCTGCCTGCTGGCTGGGCCTGTCCGTATCCAGCAGTCGAGTGCTGTGGGGAATTTGCAACAGCCCCAGCAGCGAGGGTCTGTCACTTTGCAGGAGGGGCAGGCAACCCCCTCCCCGCAGCCTCTCCCTGAGCCCCTCAGACCAGGCAGGCTGTCGATCCCTGCTCTGACCACAGCGCGGACGGTGAAGGTGAGGGTCCCCCTCGCTATCCCTGCTAGGGCAGAGTCGCTGCCCTGGCTCAAGGGCCGGGGGTCTGTGCCACCCCAAGGTGGCTTAAGCATTACAGGGATAAACCCAGAGCCCTGGGGGGATCTCCTGTGGTATTTGGGAGGATCCACAGGACTCGGGAGGGAATCGGTGCCTCTGATCCATGTGGAGTCAGAGTGTGTGGGGAGCAGCCCTGTGCTCCGTGAAGGGGTTTTTACCAGGTGCCCCGACCTGTCCCACCTACAGCACCAAGCAGGTGGAACAGTGATTTCACCATATTTGACCCCACAAAGCCCTTCAGAGAACTCCAGTGCTCTGCTGCAGACCCCTCCAAGGGAAATTAAACCCTCAGGAAGGGTTTGCTTGTCCTCCATCTCAGGTGTGCAAAGTCTCTTTGTCAGGGCTGGTTCCCCACAGGGGGTTCCAGACTGGGCACGTGGAGGTGTTTTTGCTCCCACAGCTTTTTTGCAGAGAAGAAATTTCTTTTAATTTGCTATCCTGATTCCCTTCTCTTGTATGGGGTTGGAGGTGCCTCCTGCTGAAAGCTGCAGCGTTTCTGTGCTGTTTCCTTAGCTCGACTCCTGCCAACATGTTTGGGGAGGAGGCGGTAGCACCTTGCAGCGTAGGCAAGGGCTTCCTGGCATCCCGGCGTGGGAAATGGGTGTGTGTCCCCAGCACAAGCTTGGCCCCCAGCATGGTTCAGACCTGACCCTTTCAGGGCAGTAGAGACCAGTTGTATGTTATTGACCCTCTTTAAATGAATGTCCTAATTGCAAAGTGGCTGGGGTTAGTGGTGCTGTGGGTCTCGCAGCCCGTGGTTAGCAGCGGTGTTGGTAAAAATAGAAGCGGTCAAAAAATGGATTTTTATTTTTACTCCGTAAAGTGTGTCCTGCTCAGATGTTTTGCTTTCATCTTGGGCTGAGGCAAGATGGCTCGCTGCTTCCACAGAACACAAAGAAAAAGCTTTGTTTTGGGTCAGCTGGGAAGCTCCAGCACAGCAAGCTGCAAACATGCTGTTTGACTTTGACACTCTCCCTCCCCGTTTTCTTTTTCTTTTGATTGTTGTTGGTTTGGTTGTTTTGTTGGGTTTTTTTTGTTTTTTTTTTTTTTGAGGAGTTAAAGGTCACCACAATGTCGTCTTGGAGCAAAATAACAAGTTAGCATTCCAACAAAAAATGTTGAAACACGCAGTTCATGAGCAGGCACCTCTGCAGGCTGCAGCTCGCGAGTGAGAGGTGGAAGGCGTCCCTGGGGAGCCTGGGAGACTTAGCTCTCACCTGGGATGGAGCCATATCTCCCACTGGAGAACATGCATTTTGTTAACAAGGCAAAAAAAATACAGGGACTGCATGGGCACAGAGCAGGATTGGGTTTGGAGACCTTTCTGTCCCATCAGTGTGCTGGGTGATGCCCAAAAACATAGTTCCAAGTGTCTTTGTTGGAGCAGTCTCCAAGCAGGCAATGTCCATCAGCCCACAGGGTTTGATCCTGGCCCAGCCATAGCAACCAGAGCAGCATTAAATCCACCAGCTCAGTCACCCAGCCTTCACATCCCTCTGAGGCAGATCAGTGTCCAAGGGACACAACAGGCTGCAAAATCTTTCTTAAAATAACACATTTATTTCTCTACTGACAGCGGCAGTGATGACTCCCTCATGTATGCCATGAGCTCCAGCCCATGGGGGGTAAAAGAAGGAAACAGACTAAAAATAGAGCAGCTTGGAAGTAGTTCATAAATAATAAACCAGCCTCCTGAAAGGGAGATAAAAATCCAGAAACTCCCTAAAGCCTTGGGTGCTGCTGTCAGTTTTACATGGAATGAGGAGGTGGCTGTCGCCACAGTGGCAGTATCAAACATTTCTTGGGCTTAAAACCCTAAGTGAGAGTTGGAAAGAAAACACCATTTTCCCCTCTTTTTTGTACAGAAAATATGAAAACTTTAAAAAAATTACTTTCCCAAATAATTTGCAAGTCCTGCTTGATGGAGGCTGCATTTTATATTTTTCCCCCTGAGCTTTGCAGTCCCCAGGTAAGGCAGGACTGAGACAGAGGTGACAGGTATTTGCATCTCTCTCTCTCTGGCATCCCAGAAATTCCCAGTGCTGAGAGGGAGGAAGCTTTTTTGGGCTCAGCATACCCATTTGTATTTCCAGAAGCATCCTACCACTTGCGGCTTTGCTCAGCTGTGCTGGTTTTGGCCAAGATCCTTCCGCAAACCTTCCTCCCTGCCATCCCCGGTAAAGCCCTGTGCTGCTTCTGGTTCATCCTAAAGCAAAGCAAGAGTTGGGAGAAAAGATGAAGGTTTATTCCTCTTCCCACCACCAGCTTCTCCCTGCCTTTATTGCCCAATTTTTGCTGGGCTCAGCTGGCCTTGCATCACATGTGCTGGTGGGTGAGAGTCCCACTGCCCTCCTGGGGGCAGGATCCATCGCTGAGTGACACAGTTGGAATGGCTGGAGCTGTCCCCATCCTGTGGGGAGTGAGGGCTCCGTGGGAGTTGGCCATGGGACAAGTCATTTAACTAAACCTATCGCCTGTTCAGGCTAATCGCTTCCTAATGCCTCCGTAATCCCATTTAAAGCAACTGGCAGTCTAGAAAGTTACTGGCTCCCAGGGGAAGGTTAAAATGACCTGTCTGGCTACACAAAAAGTTCCCCCAACTGCAAGGTCTAGTTCAATACACGCTTCAAGATGATTAGAAAACACAGAATGTTTCGTTTAGCCTGTGCACAGATGCTGCTGTGGGTTTACACATGGGCATGCCTGTAGTGGAGCAACAGGGCTTAGGTGGTGCTCAGGACCCCTTTCTGCTTCTCTTTGCCTTTTCTGGGGAGAAAGGTCTGTTTGAGGCGCAGAGTGTTCTGGCTTGTTGCGCCTGTGGCAGGGAGAGGGTTCTGTGTTTCATTTTGGATCTTTTTCTTCCCTTCTGTTAAGAAAGAAACCAACCCCTTTAGAGGGAGCCTCTGCAACCAGTTTCATCTGTGCCCCAGAAGAGGGCTTTTGCCCTCTGATTTTCCCGCAGCTGGCAGGTTTCCAGCCCCAAAGCCTGGGGAGGAGGCAGCGTGCCGTGTTTGCTGGCACCGGGCAGGTACCGGCCAGCTGGTCTGCAGCTCTGCAGCTCCTTCCCCCTGCCCCTGCTCCTCCTGCAGCTGTGTTTGCTTCTCACTCTCCCGTGTCCTTACTTTACTTTTTCCCCTGGATCCCGGGCGTTATGCTTGGCGGAGCTCAGCCAGATCATGGCCAAGGAAAAGCCATTAGGCTCTTGGCACAGTCCGCTTCCCCGGGGCCACGCAGGGGAGAGAGAGATGGAGCTGAAACACAGCCTGGAGCCTTACTGCGCAGAGGAAGAGCCCGTTGGAGGTCCTGCACTGCTCACTCCCAGCAAAGTTAGCTTTTCTCCCACACAGAGCCCTTGTAGAGGTCTGAGCATGTGGCAGAGCCAGCTGCTCTCCTCTGGCTGGGGGCTGCTGGTGTGGCACCTCCCACAGCCACGCTTTGCTGCTTACTGCACCCCCTACATGCCCCCGAAAACCAGCCATGAGCAACTGGTACCCCAGCCGTGTTTGGCTCTCTGGGAGCTGTGGAGAAGCATGGATTTTCCCACCTTCACTGCAAAGCATCACCCAGCTGGAGCAGCTGGGACATGCTGGGGACATGCTGGGGACATACTGGGGACAGGAAGTGGATGGTGCTGCAGATGAGTTGAATTAAATCTGCCAGGGAGGCAATTTGATTAAAATTAGGAGAGGCTGCCTGGAATTCATTACGTGGTGTCTTTTATGGCTCTTAGTTATCCCTGTCTCTTAAAGACACTGTCAGTGGGCTGATCTGGCTCCTGTTCAGCTTCCTTCTACTCCCTCCCAGCCTCCACTCCTGCCTCACTGAAAGGCTCCCAACAAGAAAAGAACATTAATTATGGCAATGATTTGGTCCTTGTTGCCCTGGGGTTGTTCTCGGCGTGGGGCCCAGGCTGTTTTCCACATGTGTTGTCTTGCCTGGGGTAATTGGAGATGGTGTCTGGTACTCGGAGTACAGCACCTGGCACGTCACAGTTGGGCAATGGGGGGCTGGGGGAGCTGCTCAGACTGAGAGAGCAAATGGATGACATGCTGTCCCTTGATTCAGAGGTTTTTCTGACGCTATTTATATCCCCTTCTTTTGCAGAGATGAGTGTTCTGGGAGTCGGTGGAAGTGGGAACTCTCCTAACAGTCCCTTTTTCCTCTGCTGAGAGACCCTGACGTGTTTCCTTCCCACTCCTCTGAAAAAAACTGTAGAGAAAACAGCACCATGTACACCTTCCTGCCCGAGAACTTTACACCTGTGAAGCAGAAGCCCTCCAAGGAGCTGAGGCCCATGCTCGGGGCCATCTTGCTGGGCCTCATGCTGTTCATCGCCGCAGTGGTGGCCTGGTGCTACTACACGGTGTCCCTGCGGAAGGCGGAGCGGCTCAAGACGGAGCTGATGGACCTGCGGGCGGACGGCTTTGTCATCAGGAACCAGCACGGGGAGGTGGTGTTCCGGCTGGCCTTCCGCTCGGGCAGCCTGGACCTGGAGTCGTGCTCCAAGGAGGGCGAGATCCTGAGCTGCACGCGGTCGAGCCGGGGGCCGCTCAACTTCTTCATCCAGACGGTGAAGCCCAAGGACACGGTGATGTGCTACCGCGTGCGCTGGGAGGAGCTGGCGGCCGGCCCGGCGGTGGAGCACACCATGTTCTGGGAGGATGCCCACTGGTACGGGGGCTCGGAGATGAGCACCCAGCACTGGCCCATCCGCCTGGCCGGCTACCAGGAGCCCGTGCCCTACGTGACCAGTGACGTCTACTCCTTCCGCGACAGCTTTGGCGGCATCCTGGAGCGCTACTGGCTCTCCTCCAAGGCGGCGGCCATCAAGATCAACGACTCCGTGCCCTTCCACCTGGGCTTCAACGCCACTGAGCGCGCCCTCTTCTTCCAGGCCCGCTACAAGGACTCGCCCTACAAGCCCCTGCCGGGGCAGCCGCCCTTCCCCGAGCTCAGCTACCGTGTCTGTGTGGGCTCCGACATCACCTCCATCCACAAGTACATGGTGCGCAGGTACTTCAACAAACCCTCCAAGATCCCTGCCGAGAACGCCTTCCGATACCCCATCTGGTCCACCTGGGCACTCTACAAGAAAGATATAAACCAGGATAAAATTCTGCAGTTTGCAAGAAACATCAAGAAGTACCGTTTTAATTGCAGCCACATAGAGATCGATGACATGTACACCCAAGCCTATGGGGACTTTGATTTTGACCC